GCCACCATGCTACGTTATGTTGGGCTATGGTGCATTGAGTGGCAAAAATGGCCAAAAAACCACTAAAATACGCTGTAGCACAGCATAGCAGGCCCTTTTTTGAGGCCCACACACATAGTGTTATAAGTGCAGTCATGGTGGAATTCCATTGTGCTACACTAAATGTTAGTGGAATTTGGCTACATTACGCTGCACTAATGCTACCATTATTGTAGTGGGTGAATAAATATTGAATTGATGACTAAAAACCAGAACCAGACTGAAAACAAGAACAAGATGAGAGAACAAGAATATAAAGAGAAGAATTCAAATCACATAGGACACATCTCCCTCTCAACCGTCCCTTCAACAACCCTCGCCCTCCTCTGATTGGCATCCTCTCTGGAATCGCACATCACCTATCATCCTCAACAATTAAAAATACCCAATCATCATCATCATGAGGAAATTTTTCAATCGCAAGAGGTTTTCACATGACCACGGTTCAGCTGTCATACCCAGTGGAACTTCAAGCAAACCCGTAGATTATACTACTCAAGCATCTTCTACCCTTGCTTTGTCAGCAACCAATCAAGAAACTGCTGCTCTTGCTTCAGGCTCAGTCAATCACTCCCAACATTGTGACTCATCCACCGCCAGTCTCATCTCAACACCTTCAAAAGAGAAAGAGTTAAGAGAAAAGCATACCACCAACGGTGGGCCAGTTACACTCACTGTTAGTCCCTGCAGATTGGCATACAGGCCTGCACTCCCCTGAAGATTGGTGTGTGCGTGTGCATGCCAATCTGCAGGGGAGTTACCCTGCAATCCATTGGTGTGTGCGGTTGAATGCCAATCTTCAGGGGACTGTACCCTGCAATCCATTGGTGTGTGTGTCTGTGCATGCCAATCCACAGGGAAGTGTTAGAGTGCATGCACAAGGGGGGGGGGGGGGAGGAGTGTGATTAGAGATTGTTCCGCAGGACTTTTTGAAGGTACCTGGTACCCCTCGCACCCGCCCTGCACCCTCCAGGAGGTGCCAGGTGCGGTACTTGGTACCTATTTTTGTAAAAAATTGAACAGGTACATACTTACCTCCACAGGTACCTCCTCACTTCCCTGTTGTAGCCTCTGTACGCCATGCACCAGATGGCTTAGTTCAGCGGTAGAGCAGGTCTGTACCATGACTGTGACATGGGTTTGATTGCTATAGCTGTCACTATCTTTTCATGTCTCTTTGTTCTAGAGATGTTGCTTCATACCCGGGTACCTGCCTCAAAATTCCAATATTTTGGACACCCACACCCGCACCTGTCAGGTCTGCCAGGGAGGGTACCCGGGTGCCTGCAGGTTGAAAGAATTTGAAACTGAAGGTATTATTTCTTTATAAGTAAATAATCTTTTCAATAAAATACAAACGATTATTTTAATAAAAGATGATAAAGAAATAAGAGCAATACCTGAAGGCAGAACCAATCTGATATTTCTGGTAATAGTAAGGCTTGATAACAATGAAGATAAAAATAGTTTCGAGGATAATTTAAACAATATTCAGATAACTGTTGTAAAAACTGAATAGATTATCAGAAGATAAATGTGTTGTTAGCCTAATTTGTTCATCGCTCTTATTGCTTAATTTATAAAGAAATACTATACTTTAATAGATGAAAGGATGTCGCTTCTTTGAGTAACAGCTGTATAAAGTTAATCGCCTGATGAGTCTATTGCAAAGTCGTCAGAATTGAGAATAACTCAGCCAGTTGTTACTTTCTCTTTTTCTTTAAGAAAAAGGCATTCAAGGTTTATTCTATACTCACCAACTATCGGTGGAAATATACGGTTGATGAGTTTGCAATCTTTAGACTTGTGTGAGTGTGAACTGAAAGAAGATAAGAATGATTTTTGAGTAAGCAAAGAAGTAGAACTTGATCATTGATTCTGTTCTCATTCTTACTCCTATGATTCAATCAATCAAAACTCACTAAGAGCTCGATGATTGATCATGATCATCGTTATTATCTTTGCTCATGATGTCAATGACATCATCGCTTGATTCAAAAGCTAAGATTTTATTTCTTTCTTGTTCATCTATTGAACAGCTTATTTTTGCAAATGATCACAAATGTTTGATCAGTGCGATGATTGTTATTGTTTTTCAGGAAGTTTATCAAACAAGTGATAAAATAACCTGATACTCTGCTCTTTTGAGGGCTAAGACCAGGAATTGCATTCCAACACAGGTGTGGAGGATTTTTTGCAGGCAAATATACCCAGAAATCCGTCTTGATGACTGGAGGGATTCATCCAGTTGTTGAGATTGTACACCATCTCAAAGGCCGGAGGGCTCCCTCTGGTAGAGATCGTTTGTTCGTACTCGGGTACCTGTTGGTACCTAGGTACCTGTTGAATTTTTTCAAAAAATAGGTACCAAGTACCGCACCAGGCACCTCCTGGCGGGTACTGGCGGTACTTTTGGCGGGTACCGCGGGTACCTCCCCTCTCTTTCTAACCTAGGTTCACTTTCAGATTACCAAGTCACTTTTTGATTATTATTTTTTTCATATTTATTGTAAAATATCAGTCCCAAGTCACTTTTTTTCCATTCTTTCATATTTATTGTGAAATGTTGACAACAAATTGGAAGAATCCTACTTTGCTATTATATTTTCATATTTATTGAAAATATAATTTCCAAGTCACTGTTTTTCCTTTTGTCATATTTGTTGTAAGACATCTTAAACTAATTGGAAGAACCTTACTTCATTATTATTATTATTTTCATATTTATTGTAAAATATTACTCAAGTCACTTTTTTGGCATTTTTCTCATATTTGTTGTCAAGTATCTACATCTAATGGGAAGAATCTTGCCTTTTTTCATATTTATTGTAAAACATCAATCCCAAGTCAATTTTTTCATTTGTTCACATTTAATAATTTATTTTAAAGCTTAAACTGTCTACAAATTATATCTAATTATATTATTAGAAGAATCTCCATCGTTGTCCAAAACTATCACCTTCCTTTTTGATTTTTGGTTAGACTTCTTGTTATCCTTGATTCCCTGTTTCCATGTAGCCAAGGTACCTTCTTGGAGTTCTTGGAGTAGAAGGCCACCGTCATTTTGGTAGGGAAGTGAGGGGGTACCTGTAGCGGTACCTAGGTACCTGTTCAATTTTTCACAAAAATAGGTACCAAGTACCGCACCTGGCACCTCCCAACGGGTGCGGGGCGGGTGTGAAGGGTACCCCCCAAGCGGTACTAGGTACCTAGCAAAGGGTACCGCGGAACGATCTCTACCCTCTGGCCTCATCAAAGCCACCAGATTAGTTCAGCAACCCATGTAGGACACCAGCCAGTGTCCTACATGGGTTGCTGGCACCTTTGTGCAGCCCAACACACCCAAAAAAGGGAGTGTTGGAGCCTCAATGATAATTTAAATTCTTCAGGGAAAGCATTCCCAGGGCGGGTGTAAGGCGGGTACCTGCCTTTTTTTACCCCAAATGTTGACACCTGCACCTGTTTCCGGGTACCCGCTTTGGAAAACAGATACCTGCAAAAGGGTACCGGGTACCTGCTGAAATCTCTACTTTGTTCCCTACCAAAAGGGGGGGGGACTGCATGAAAACCAAGTGAGACAGAGAGGGGAGGTACCTCCGGTACCCCGGGAGGTTTCTGGTGTAGAGATGGGCGATTCGCATCCCGGATATCCGCGCGGATGCGGATATCCGGCTGCTTTTTCCGGCCATCTAGGCATCCGCATCCGCACCCGCACCCGCTGGCGGGTATCCGTCGGCCGCAGCGGGTATCCGAGCGGGTATCCTAGGATACCCGCCCTTGAAACGGCCGGCAAGGGACCGGCTGGAAGGATTTCCTTCCAGCCGGACATCCCCCCTTCTGGCCTCGGGTATCCTTTGGGATACCCGGATACCCGCCCAAATTTCTGGGAAAAGGGCACATCCGAACCCCAATCCGTATCCCCTGGCGGGTATCCGCTGGCGCTGGCGGGTATCCGTCAGGGGATAGCGGGTATCCGCAACGGATACCCCGCGACCATCTCTATTTCTGGTGCAGTACATGGTATCTATTTTCTTGGAAAAATGAACAGGTACCTAGGTATAAACAGGTACCCAGGTCCAAATGAATGATCTCTAAGTGTGATTATCCATCCCCCTCAAAGGTGATACCCAGCTCCTTAGGTTCATTCTCAGTGAACAGGAAAAAGTGCCCCCCAGCAATTGATGTGATGCTGTTTGTATGTCTCCCTAAGATTGCAATCCTTGATCTGAGCAAAAATTCTTCCTAGTGCACATGGATACTTGAATAATCAATTCAGATTCCCTTACTCCCTCTGGATCAAAGCAAAATACTATTGTATCAGTGACAAGTTTTAGAAAAATATCTGTACAGGTTTACTTACTTCATTTGTATCAAACTAACATACTATTTTTTTAGTGACAAGTTTTAGAAATATATGAGTACAGATTCCCATAATTCCCTTGGATCAAACCATCTTGAAAGATGCCCTATTCCTACTTAGCCTATTCTGAAACTAGCTAAAGATTCTTCCTGATATCATAGTAGAAGCAAACAAGCTTTCTGGTCAATATGTGAAAATTCTTAGTTTTATGAAGTGGTTGATACTGCTTGGTCAATAAGAATTACTGATTTGATAACTGAGAAATACTGTTTGCTCAATGAAGAGTTTTGATGAGATAACTGTAAAATACTTCTTGATAAGTGACGAGTTTTAAAACCATATCTGTGAATTGTCCCTTACTTCCTTTGAATCACATCATCACACTTAAAAAGGCTTTCTGTTAGCTTATTCTGGAAATTTTCTCTTCCCACATTGCACCACAGAAATTGGTATTCTTGAACAAATATCACATCATTAACTCATCTCTAAGACTGCTTGGAAAAATGCCTGGATATTTGCACAGCACCAGTTTACTATTTAAATATGTCACTATTGTCATATACCTCACAAAGCTTCCAATACAATGCTCGGCAGCAAGTCTTTCAAAACGCTCAATGAATACAAGAGATGAGAAGATGATTGAGTTGTGAGCATCCAGAAAATCATTCAATTGAAATAAAGATGTCTATTTATTCTTATTTCTTTCCATTCTCCAACATACCAGCCTCCCCCAAGCAGGAAAATCTAAGCAGTGAGTACCATCTTGTAATTTAAATTGATCAGAGTATATGTTTTGACAGTTTGGTTCATTTTTTGAAATTATGACTGCATAAAGTGTGGATGAAGGAATGTATGTAGTCCATACACACCTGAATCTCAAACAATCTGTTCTTTTTTTAATCCAATTTGTCCCTTGTTTTCAAACCCTTGACAAAATTTCTTCATAATCAGGGAGTCTCATGGTGGTAACCACAACAGTTGGGAATCCTTTGATCCAATGGAAATTGAAATTGGTATCAATGAAAGAATGTGAGTCAGATTTGCCTTAAATTTATCAAGGATTTTTGAAAAATGAAACTCAAAAGCAAATTACAAATTGTTTCATATGATTCTAGGAGTAAGGTTCCAAAAGAGTCCACCATAAATATAGGAATCAATGCACCTCATTCCAGAAAAATAACACTTGAAGATACAGAAGAATCAATAAAAGAAATGTAAGCTTAACTGATGATTATAAATTATTGGATTGTTTTAGTGTGATAAATTGAGCCATTTGAAAATTCAACCATTGCAGGTCTTTGGAGGAATTTGTTGAAATGGCAAAAGTTGTCTTTGGACTTAAAGCTGATGAAATGGATAGCTTGAAAAACCACTTGAGGTATTATTTCAACTAAATAAATTATCCAAAGATTTGTTGGCTCAAGTTCAATTTCTCATGTCAATGATTTTTATCCTTTAGGCTTACTTTTCAGGAGAAAGATTGGACCAACATGCAGAATAAGGAATTTAGCCATAAAGCAATCAAAAACACATTGTTGTGGGGCTTGAGAAGGGATATTGGGTTGGTATTTTTCACTACATCTAGATTGTTGATGAGTTTTATTGACTTGCTTTGGTTTCTTCTGATAATTGATATCCTAGAGATGAATTTTGGGGACCAAGAGATACTATAGATAAAGCTACAGAAAATTTAATTTCTCATGTAAACAAGCTGTAAGTATATCATCTAGGATATTTATGAGTATACTATAACCAGTTAAATTTCAAGCTAAAGCATAAATCATTGGGTATATTTACTAAGTCAAAATGGTAAGATAGAGGGATCTTTGAACATTCAAATCCCACCAATGAATGGGGTCCTTGACCCAATTCAAACACCAAAGCTATCACATGTTTCAAGAGAGAAGTCGATTGAAAACCTGGAGAAAATGTAAGTTTCATTAATTTTAAATTGGGAGTTTTCATGTGTTGGTGGATTGAGAATCATCTGATTTCAGGTCAGTGAATGAATGGTTTATTTTATCCAAAGACATCTTTGGAGTTGAAGATAAAGATAAAGAAAAGTTTATTGGATACTTTGAGTAAGTTCAATCCCGAAATAGTAGTTTTAAAAATGGTACCAATTGAATTATTGATTTTTATTAATCAGGAACATTTTCAAAAAAGACAAATTATTGTGTGGATTCAATGGTGAAAAGCCATGGCATCAATACATGATTATAAAAGGATTTATTTGGTGTTGGCAACATGGATATAAGTTAGTGTTTGTCTTTATCCTTAACTCTTTTCTTTGATTGACCAATTGTTTCCTTCTTTTCTATAGAACTCAATTTGATAATTTTGGAAAAACTATTGATGACAAAGTAGAGTGTGTGATAACTGAGCTAAACAATATGTTTGTACTAAATCATATCTTCTGTGTGATAAAGTACTTATGAACTGAGGTACTGATTTGATTTTCTTTTTTCAGAGAAAATGGCACACCAGATAATTTTGATCAGCCTTTAAAACAAACACACATGGCTTTGGTAAAAATGGTTTCAGATAATGGTAAATATTATGAGAAGATATTACACAAAGTTCAAGAATCAGGGAGTGAAAATTCTGGAACTGTCAATGACAAATTAAAATCAGGTAATAAAAAGAAATTTAATTGATAAAAGTAATAATTCCAAAGGAATAAGAATTTCTCTAATCAAGATTGTACTCTTAGGGGCTCAACACATGCAATATATCAAACAAATAAACCATAAATTTGAAAGCACTCATCAAAAAGAATCAAACAATAAATTATTAATTGCAGGCTCTTTGGAAAACAAAGAAGGATCAATGAAAGATATGTAAGTTTCCATCCCTAGAATAAAAATGAGTGTGGTCTATCTGAAAAATTGAGATGATTTGGTTGTTTCAGATCTTTAGAGAGGTTTGTCCAGCTTACACCAAGAATTTTAGGAATCCAGGATTACAAAGTGAACATGTTAAAAAATCATTTGATGTGAGATTTTTTTTTTTTTTTTTAAATTACAAATGATTTTCAAAGTGCTCAATTATCCCTTAATCTGTTTGAATCTAATTTTCAAATTACTTTTCACTTTTATTGATTGATTGAACCTCGAATTAGTGAAAACAAAGATGTGATGGGAGAGCCTGGAGAAGAAAATTGGCCATCCAACCTTATCATCACAACTTTGGAATGGATCTGGGAAAATAAACTTGAGAAGTAAGTGCTTTTGTATGTCCTTTCCCTTCAGAAAACTGTCCTCTGATGGAATGTGGGTCCAAAAGGTCCAAGAAATACAGTCAAAGACCAATACAGGATTATCATAACCTGGTTGAATCTGTAATTTCAGAATTCAATTATATGTACGTATTTTGACATCAAACTCACTGAAAACAAATCCAGAGATAATAGCTTAATGGAATATCTCCTTTCAAATAACATAGTCAGATGGAGGATTCAGTATCAAGAGAAATGTAAGCTTCAAGGTGCTGTTGCCATGCCAAATATCCAATTCATGTATTGTTGAGGACTCAACTGAGCATGTTAAAATAATCCAATAGTGGATTTATTGAAAGTGAAGAATCCAGTTCATTCTTGGCATATATCGAATGGATAAAAAATGCTTTTGAATTAGATGAAAAAGCAACATCTACCTTGAAGGAGCGCTTAGGGTAAGTTGGGTCTCAATTTTGGGCATTTGAAATATGGATTCAATTGGGGATCAGAAACCATCTCAGGAATGATTTAAAATACTGAATTTGATTGGTGAATGTGTGTAGACTATGCATTCCTCTGCTCAATCAAGGATCAAGCCAGCTTCCATGGCTACACCAGCTTATCAATTTCACAATTGAAAGGCTCCCATCAGAGTCCAAAATGTTAGTGCTTTTTTTTTTTTTAAATATTCATGGATTTCATTGTTGACAATTTGAATTTTAGAGGTGGAAAGGACTTGAGAGCAGCTTGGGATCAAGATCAATTGATCAAAGCTTTTGTTACAAAAATCCATGCTCTGTATGTCTTCAATCAAACTTGATTTTTCCCCAAATCAGTAAAAAAAAAAAGAAAAGAAAAAGAAAAAGAGAAACAGACTGATAAATTCTTGCCTATCATGTTTTGCAAAAATATAGCAAGTCTGCACAAGCCACAGAGAGAATATGATTATGGCCTAGTCAATATTCATCTCTCAACAGGTGAAGGATGGAGCTAGTAAATTAATCAAACTGAACCTGGTGATCAATCATTCAAATAGCTAATATACAAGTAGATTTCAGTTTGTTTCTGTTATTTTCAATGGGCTTTTATTCTTTATTCAACTTGTGGATTGATGAGGAGCTATTTTTTGTGCATTTGGTCTTCAAAAATTCAGATTTCTGATCCCATATAATATGTCTGCCTCTGTGTAATATGAGTGTTGCCTGACCTTTTTGAGTGTGGTGAGTATTGGGTAGTGGGTGTTAATACCAGTCCTGTTGAGGAGGTTTCACTCATCATTATGGAGTTTACTTAGAGGCTTGATATCAACAGAGCATCCAGATCAATACAAGGTGCTAATAGGCATCCAGAGTTCAAAGACTCAATCGGGAATATTTATTCCCCAAAGGGGTACTGGTTGGGCTAACAATAAGAGATAAGCTTGAACAGAATTTGTGAATTTTGATCTATGTGGAATATTCAGCAAGGCCTTCACTGCAAGAAAAAGTCAAGCAACTGGTGGAAGTTGGCATGCAAGAGCTCACTCCATACTCTACACTGAACTTGATTCAACCTCAGACTTTTACTCTACATTTTTCTGGTCCATCCCTTGAATGAAGCCACAGGGTAATACTGATACACATCTTTGGTATTTATGTCTATCATCTCTTTTCTAAGACAAATACCTGATATCATTAATTGCTTGGTTGGTGAGAAAATCCACTGTCTCAGATTATACCAAACAGAAAAACAAATCCTCTTTTTTTTTTGTTTTTGTTTTATGTTGATGTGGCTGAATATTGTGTGTATTGAAGAGCTTTTTGGTCAGATCATCCCTCTGAGACACTACGCAATACTTGTCTCACTTTCCAAAGACAATACAATACATCGATGGGTATTGTCTCAGGAAAGGCAGACAAACAAGGACCAGTATTTGTGGGTATGTATTCAAATTCTGAGACAATGCAAATAGTCGGTTGGAAAAACAACTCCTCAATACAGTTGTCAGACATTGCTTGGAAGTTGTTTTTTCCAAATGGATTTATACATATATTTAAAAAGTTTTAAATTTTTTGGGAGTCGGGACAAACCACTCCTCATGCTTGAGGGGATTTGGGAGTTGCTCCCACATGACTGGAAGGATTTCCTTCTGGTTGGTGAGAACCAACAACCTCATTGACCAGAAGGGATTGATCCATATCCTCCTGAGGCCCACATATATGCACACACAAATAAATAAATATATATATATGAAGCTTGACCATTGTATCTAATATGTATATAGTATTTCCAAGATACATGAAGCAAAAAACCAAAACATATGGATGAGTGAGATATGAACTTTTGATAATGAGAGGGGGGGGAAAGTGAGACCGAGGAATGATGCGGAAATAGAGAAGAGTGAAGCCCAAGATGAATGTGAATAATGATGATGAGGAAGTCTGTGCACGATATACAAAGATGCGTAAGATTGAATGATGAAGGAGATGTAGAATAGCAGCTATGAACAGAGATGAGAGAGTGTACGTAATAAGACAACAACAAGATCCAAAAAAAAAAAGGGAAAAGCAAGAGTTAAACGAAATGAGCGCCGACGCGTTGATTGAGGGCGATATTTCCTCGACGGCGAGCGGCCCGGAAGAGGAAGAAGAAGAATGGATGAACGGGGGAGCGTCAGGGGCCTGATGGATCTGTTTGAGGAGCCAACGAAAGAGGAAGGTGAGGAGGCCGGTGGAGAGGAAGACGAGGTCGAAGAGCTTGCTGAAGCGCGAGAACGACGGCAAGGTGTTCAGTAAGGAGTCTTCTTTTCCTTCCGTCGTCGGGCTTCCTGGGCTCGGATCTCTCGTCGGCGGAGATGAGGGAAGCGAGATAAGACAAGTCAAGAGATACATAGCCTGAACATACAATTTTTTTTGGGGGGTGGATAGATTAGTGGTCAGCTGGAGATGATGGTAATAGGACGAGAAAGGACAGACCATGAGTTGGGCAAGGACGAGTAACATGAGGCTGCTACTAGCGCCATTAGCGTTGGAAGAGACGGAGAGCCGATTGAAGACCCGGTTGACCCAGACCAAGACTGCACGGAGATTGACGACGATGATCGAGCCGATCAGGACCAGGCCGACGAGGCGGGTCAGCTTGCCAATCTCCAGCTCGACACTAAACGTCGACAAAACCTTCGCTACTAGATACGTGACGACGTCTGTCGTCGGGTTCCGGGTCGTCGTCGTCGTCGGTTGCTTGACATATCCAAAGATTAAATTCACACATGCCTGTAGTCATCACCAATTCAAATTAACATCTATCTTATCTCTTATCATTGGGAAAAAAAAAAAAACAATACTAACCATAAATAGACGATAAACACAATAAACAGACAAGAACCAGTTGGCAATGTTGAGCATCATCCCAGGGATCGTCCGAGAATATTCATGCGATTCCTTGCGTTCTTTGAGCACCATGAGGTCAGAGATCATCTGGGCTTCCATGGTCCTCCAGGCCAGCAATTTCCTGTTGAAGTTGTGGGCTTCTTCCGTCGTACAGGCAGACTTTGTAAGCTATTGAAATGTCAGAAGAGGGGATAGAGAAGAACATACTAGGATGAGACGAGCCTGTGAAAAGCGTTGTCAGGAGACTCGAGCCGTCTGGCTTGGAACTACTACCAGCCACACTAGCCTGTTGCTGTTGGAGGATAGATTTCCGATCGACGAGGTCGTTCTGAGTTCTGATGAGTGATTTCTCGGCGACGACGATATGTTGGTCTGTGATCGGCGGTCTGACAGGGAAGACAGAAAAGAGAAGAGATAAACACCCCAGGTTTGCGTTCAAGGATGAGTAGAGTAAGGGGGACATACTCCTTGGCCCGACGGCGCCATTCCCATGTCAGCCATGCTGTGTTCACCGCACCTCCTCCGGATAACGAGCCGATGAGGATCACTCCTGGGACACATATCCTGGCGAGAGTGGTGTTGAGAAGACCTTGGTAAGATTATGACCCCCCCCCCCCCCATGATCAGAGAGATTAGCGTCTCATGTTCAATTCTGGTTCGTCAGGGAATTTCGATTCGGAGACTCACCAAACGAATGGGTGCCCGATTCGACGCCCAATAAGCCTTGGATGACCTGTCCTAGTCGATAGTATACGAACAAATAAACGCTGAAGGGAAGTAAGGGCAAGCCCAGGGTCCTAATCGACAGGATTCGAATTCTTTCGTTTGCTGAATAAACAAAGCAAATGATCAGAATTCTTTTCTGGGTTTTTTTTATAGAGAGGGAAGGAGACTCAACTCTTTCGACGTCGACTGAGGATGGTAGTTGAGAAGAGTAAGCATTCTAGGAAGGGGACGATGAAGACGACGGATGAGATGAGGAGGGCGAGGGAGAGGTTCCAGTTAAGATTTCGAACGCTGTTTTTATTTATTTTATTGCAGATGATGATGAGTTTGAATTGCACTTGATTGGGCGAGTTGAGAAAAGAAGGGACTCAACTGAGGGTTCAACCAAGAGCCGAGGATGACGATGCTGAAGAGGAGACTTCCTTCGCAGAACGAGCAGCAGAAGATGAGCGTGGATATGTTGGGGGAGATGAGTTGGTGATGGTTTGAGGTGTAGAAGGATGGTTGAGTTGGGGTTGATGATTCGGTTGTTTCATTTGTTGTTGATGGTTTTTGCAGAGTGTTTTGGTGGTGTTGGTTCTGCTGGATGAGTGGCTTGAGTTCGAAGTGTTGTTGGAGGTATCTTCGGCAGCCCAGGAAGAAGGATATCCTGAGTGAGATGAGGGAGAGATGAGAGATGAGTTGGTTGGTCATTGTTTGTAGTTGCTTCGTTCGATGTTTGTTGATGGTTTGGTTTGCTGTCGAGGTGCTGAGTTTGATGAGACTACTGTTTTATGGTCTGTTCATGTTTTTCTTGACTTTGAAAGTTTTCAGCAGGTTCTTCATCAATCCAACTAGGAGCTCTGCCGGCGTCCAAGATGTGCTCCGGTCTCCAGATCTCCTGTCTGGCAACCGCAGATCACAACTGCTGGTGCTGCCGCCCCCAACAAACTTCCTGCTGCATCCTCATCATCCATCAAACATCTTTCTCACCCAACATTTACTAGCAAGATCAATGCTGGTTAATATTCTTCACTTGCACTTCACCATTTGATTGTTGGCAGGTTGATGAAAGGCTTGGTGTTTGTCGTTTCCTTGCCCACCTCCGCCGCCGCACAGGCAGAATGAGTCTTGGAGGAGAAGCTTCCGCCCCGGCGGTCACTAGGCCAGAGGATACCTCCCCCTCTTCCCCTCCGGGTGCCTGACTTGTGAGCACTATATAAGCAGAATGGCTCACCACAAGAAACAAAAAAATTGCGCAACTGCCCCCAGTTGACATGCGGAAGCGCCAAGAAAGCATGTGGTGTTACATACTCAAACCTAATTACTACTACAAGCTAGTTGTTTATACCAACACAGTCACTGTCCAACAAGAGGCTGTTGGGAAATCAGATGGTGTTACGATGGCAATGACACTGGCGCATGCCGGTGCCAGTTGAGCACCTTTTTCTCATAGTGGCTGTATGCCTGATAATGATGGCTCTTTGGATTTACAAAATCAATTGTTGTGAATTATCCAGTCAAGTCTAATCATGGAGCTTTTGAGCTATCACAAGAAATTAACAATTACAAGATTTATTCCTTATTCCACTTTCAATTTACATTACTATGGTAAGGAGACCTCAATTTTCTACTTTCTTGGCTCCTGTAATTCTTATCCTTAAAAATATAGATTTCAGAAGCAGGTTGATAAAATCCCTGTTTGATTGGAACAAAAACAAATTTTCGGGGTAGAATCAACCTCTTATCTTTGGTGAAGGTAATATGACTCTTCAACATTGGAGATTGCAATGGGCTGTTTTTTTCTAAATGACTTTTCTGAACAATAAAGAGATTTGCTTTCCTTGTTCCCAGTTGAGATGAAATGGTCTATTCCATGGTATCAATCCGATATCTTTAAGTTTTGGTAAACTTTTGTGCATGAACCATTTAAAATTGGCTACCTTGTTCAGCCTTTTCTCAATCCTTCCAAAGGAGTCCAAGAAGCTCTTTTCATTGTGAAACACGGTTAACCATTTAGACATATTCATCTTTTTATAATGATGGGACAAAAATAGCAACACTGCCTTTAAGATGTTAATTTCTCTGTGGGATGGGATTTGCGGGAAATGTAGATCTAGTTCATCATTTTCATTCAGAGGTCCACCGTTCATAAAATTAAAAATTGATTCTCTTATAGTGTTCTCAAACTTTCTATCTTTATTATCATTTCCTGAATAAATTGTATTCCTTTGAAATCCTTCATGATCTTCAGACAGATTTATGATGTGAAAAAGTTCATGTTGCATTTCAAGCTGCTCTTCCAGATAAATGTGGTCTTCAGCCTTTGGAATGTGACCAAACGACTCAATAATCACATGATTCAAGAACCAAATCAGCTTGTGAAAACACTGGATTTGATTGATAGGAATCCCTTCAACTAATTCCCCATTTGAAGATGAAAAACCCACTTGTTCAGAATTTTTGTTATTTTTCGATTCTTTTAGTTGAGAGATGAAAGAATCTGAATAGGCTCTTTCCTGTTCTGAAATCCATGTCTTTTCTCTATACCTCTGTGAAAGTAAAATTGACCATATTTTTTGAATTTCCTTATCAGAGATTTCATTTATGGCTTGGTGTATCTCTTTTTCAAATTCCCATCTTATGTCTTTGACAAAGGATTCTACTTTAAGATTTGAAGCTTTAGGAATTCTGTACTTTTGAAATGAGCTCCTTCCACTTTCTTGACCATTTGTGATGTCTTGTTTCCATGGGAGTGCTTCCATTGACAAAATTTGTTTTCTCCATAGGCGAAATCCAGCCTGATTTGAACGCAAGTGATCAATTTGGATTCTCTTGATGTGTGAGAAAAAATACTTTTTTCTCAAAAACATCTTTTTCCACTTTTTTGGATTATTTTCTTTGTAGTAACAAGCCAAAAAATCAATAACCACTGAAGTGATCATTCCTTGTCTCTTAGAGATAGCACCTGATATGGTACAACCCCTATAATTTCTTCCATTTGTCAAAAAGGTAAGTGGTTCATATTGGTTGTCTGGAATAAGAGTTCTCTCAAGGGAATTAAATAAAAGTTTGGTTCCAAGTTTCATCAATCTTCCTTTTTCACTGATTGCTGCATCAGATTCAGAATCAGATCTATTGTTTTCTATTCTTTGAAAAAGACTGATAATCCATTCAAGCAGCAAAAGTGTTTCCTGTGCATATCCTTCCAAATTCATTTTTCCTATGCTTTGAAGGAACCTCAAGTTTACAAACCAAAGTGTCTGTGAAAATTCAATCAAGTTCAAACTCATCCTTTTCTTTCCTATTCTCTGATATGTGCTTGACTGGCCTCTTATCATGATAAACTGATTCATTTTGAAATTCAATTGAGTGATGAATGCAGAAATTTCTTTGTCATGATACAACTTCAGCTTCTGGTGTTCTATGGCTGCTAGATGGAGAGAAACTCCATAAATCAGCATCAAATCTCTCATCTCATAATCAAATTTATAATCTTTTTTCATTTCTTCTTCCTGATCCATGGCCTCTATCTCCTTGAATTTTCTTTTGCAAACTGATGTGGCCTTTTTCTTAGATTTGGGAATCAGGACATCATGTGGAACAAAATTAGGGAAATCTCTGATTATGGGAGAAGATATTGAAACATTTGGCTCTGTTGGGTATCTTTGTGCAATTTCAGATTTTGAATATTTACATGACTTCTCAAATCTTGGTGCCATGTGATGGTAGACTCTTGAGTCATGAATCACTTCAGAATATGAAGCTGGAACAGATGAGTATTTTAGGGCATTGGAAATTCTATCTGAAAAATCACATTATAGAGGAAAAGGAAATATGTTCAGATATTCAATATCAAAGTAAGAGTGTTAAGGCTGAGGAAAGAAAAGAACCTGTATTTATATCCTGTTTCTGTCTACAAGCTGTGACTACTCCCAATCCACCAGATATTGAACCCTCTTTGAGTGAAGAAAATCTTTGTTGTTTATGGACATCCTTTGAATTATTCAGAGATAGTTCAAGGGATAATTGAGAGTTACTGTCTAAAATGATTTTTTTTTAATTTACCTACATAATTTTAAAATAAAACAGTCAAACTTCTCACCATGATTGAACTCAGTCTCATATTGTTGAAGGTGATCTTGGCTTTGGAAACTATTATCATGAGCCCAATAGTTATGAATGCTGTGGGATGTCTGCCCTGATTGGTGATTCAAGATTTTGTTTTTGCCAGAGATTGAAGAGAGTTTGAGTGTTAGATAATAATAAGGATTCTTATTCCTAAATCAAAGGAGTTCAAAGCAGACAAATCATTCACCCATAAAATCAAATTCCTTGACTTCTCTCCTCAAGGATGAGGCTGAATTAGGACTATGTCCAAATATTGGTCTTCCAGTAGATTGCAGCCCAAGGCCAAGTTGATTCTCCACTATTATTTTTCTCAATTATTCAACCCAAAATGTGAAATTGATGAATCAGCATGCATCAAGAGTTGATTAATTACACAGAATATTGACAAACATCTTGCTTTTGGGACATGCAATGGGCACTTGGGGGTTTGATCCAAATTCTCAGCCATTGGAAGGCTCAAAGTCAATTGAAGAGAATTCTCCCCTAGCTCTCTGAGATACACAAGAAGAATGAGTTATGAATTAGCGAGCCGGTCCTGTGCCTGCTATCTGCATCTATCCAATGAAGTCCGCTAAAACTATCACCATACTTCTGTGACCCGGCCTGTTCTGATTTACCCAGTCCGTCCACCAGGGAAAAGCATTTCATGGGAAGAAAACTGATGTGAGCTAGAAATGTGAGCGGGATTCGCCTGGAAGCTTTCATGATTAATGGGGTTGATCGGAAGTCAAAATCTCCGAGCGGATAGCCAGTGACTAGCAGTTTCTTAAACGGGGACAGATTCCTTCTAAGATTCGACTGCCTCAATTTGAATTCTACCCTAGCATCAAGGTTGCGCCGCCTGCCACTCCGGTTCATCCCTAACCCAACGAGTACCTTCCTCTTTGTGCGGAGTAGCGAACCACTCGTCGCATTGCGACCTTTGGAGGGTGCCTGCGGGGCGGCGTCCCCCCTGTTTCCATGAAGGACCTGGTTGAGTTACTACTGGAGCTTCTCCGCTCGCAACTCGACCTTTCAAACAACTGAGCCAAGCTGAAGAGCTGTTTCCGCCATAAAGTTTCCACGAAAGAGGTATTGTGTCAATGTTAAGGAGGAGACATAAAAAAAGCCCCTCCGGCTCAGATAACAGATGCTTTGAGATCGTCAGGGGGTGGGGGAGGGTGGGGAACGAGACATGTGTCAAATCTCAGAAGTCACACTAAACAAGGAGCCACAGAAAAACGCGCCCCCCAAGTACATTGCAAATATGAGAGGAGAAAAGAAAAAGATAACATGCAAAACCATCTATGTATGCAGAGGAAAAATCAATAAGCACTGAAGATGGGCTGCCACTGGAGAAGTCTGCAACTTGTCCATCCGTTGAATAAGTCACCAGAGCCCTTCAAAAGTTCAATCGTCAGTTGAGACCTGAAATAGTCTCAAAAAAAGGGCGTCGAAGTGGGTGTCTCCTCGCAGTTTAGAATTATTCTTGTGATCAGTGGCGGGGGATGACCTAAAACTGGTCCGCACAACTTTTTGGTGAGGTCAGTGGATGAGATGAGGTTTGAAGTTGTTCGTCCACAAAAGACGCAGCGACACACATCACCCCGGTAGAAAAGATGATAGGGAAAAGATACACGACTGATTATCTGCTTACTTTTTTGGGGCAAAAGAACGACCAATCGGTTTGATTGAAACTGAGACTCCTATCAGATGATGGTTTTTTGAGCGCAAGAAACGACTTGGGGTTGGAGGAATTATCAAGTACAGCTAAGGAACTATGGAGTAGACGAACGGCAAGGAGCCCTGTCGAGGTTATGTATCCAGTCAATATAGCCTATAGGGGACACTTCTTTCCTCTTGACCACTAGGTTATCCAGTCATGATAATTCACAAGACAGGCCAAGATACACCAGATAGAAGAATAAGCAACTCAGGAGCCGAGAACCTCATGTCCCTCCTTTTCCTTACCCTCCTACATAAACATGGAGAGTATATACTTATTTACATCCATCCAACTCCAAACTTGGCACAAGCAGTACTTTTTTGTTCTCATCTTTCCCCCCAACCAAAGTTCTCTTTGGTCAAGGGATCCCGCCACATTGCGAGCCCGTCCGAGAGTTGTCGTTTTGTCACAACCACATCTTATTATTCTTCCCAGCCTACTGGTCTTCCGAGTGCTTAGCCGTACTTGGTCAGATCGGCTACCCTTGGACGGCTTTGTTTGTGAAGCCATTTCAATCCAGCCGTTCTGGAAGAAGAAAATTTTTCATCATGTCCAAACCGACACTCACCATTCCTACCTCCCCCCAAAATCTCCGTAACCGCCAGCGCAAAAACCTGCCGGATTATGATCCCGATTCTGACCTCAGCGAGTCGGAGGGCTTGGGAGGCACGAGGCCCCAGCCTGATGATACTTGGGAAGATGATGAGGAAACTGCGGTTGATGATGACAGTAAGCTTGAGTTCATCCTATCATTTGCATTTGATTTGTTATGAGAATTGCTCGTTGAATCGAAACACTCTTTCAATAATCGTTCTTCCAGGCTACGTCCAACGCACACTACGCAGAGAAAAACCACTGCCTCCAATCACCTGGCGCAACTTTTATCGAGAGATCAATTTGATTTCTACGCTGGCCTTGACCATCGTCCCTGTCCTGTCCCTCTACGGTGCTCTTACTACACCTCTTTGTCGTTTCACCTTGGCATGGTCCATTGTCTATTACTATTTCACCGGCTTAGGTATTACAGCTGGTTATCATCGTCTATGGGCACATCGATCCTACAACGCTTCCCCTCTGCTTCAATATTTCCTCGCACTCGGTGGCTCAGGTGCCGTGGAGGGTAGTATTCGATGGTGGGCTCGGGGTCACAGAGCTCACCATCGATATACTGACACCGATCTCGACCCTTACTCGGCTCACAAGGGACTTTTATGGAGTCATGTTGGCTGGATGATTGTCAAGCCTCGACGCAAGCCTGGCATAGCCGATGTGTCCGATCTGTCTCGCAATCAAGTGGTCAGATGGCAACATCGCTGGTATCTACCCTTAATTTTTGGCATGGGATTCTTCTTTCCCACTCTCGTCGCTGGACTGGGATGGGGTGATTGGAGAGGTGGCTTTTTCTATGCCGGTGCTGCTCGATTGTTGTTTGTCCACCACTCGACATTTTGTGTCAACTCTCTGGCTCATTGGCTCGGAGAAGCCCCCTTTGACGACAAGCACACTCCGCGGGACCACATTATTACCGCTTTTGTCACAATCGGTGAAGGTTATCACAACTTGTAAGGGTATCCTGTGAAATTCTGGGCCTTTGTTTTGAATGATTGAATCCCGCTAATGATTGGGTCTGTATCTACATATACTTCCGAAAAACAGCCATCACGAATTCCCTCAAGACTTTCGAAACGCCATTCGTTGGTATCAATATGACCCAACCAAATGGTTCATTGCTGTCGCTGCTTTCCTCGGACTTGCCACCGAGCTCAAAACATTCCCGGACAATGAGATCCGCAAGGGTCAATATGGAATGAAGCTCAAAGAATTGCAGCAAGATTTCCGGGAGGTCAAGTGGCCCACTTCTTCAAATGACCTGCCGATCCTTACCTGGGAGCAGTTTGTTGACGAGGCCGATAAGAAAAATGGGCGGAATTTGATTGTCATCGGCGGCTTCATCCACGATGTCACCGATTTTATTGATGAACACCCAGGAGGTCGAGCACTCATAAAAACCCGACTTGGCAAAGACGCTACCACGGCCTTCCACGGCGGAGTTTATGGTAAACCCAGTCATCCGTTTTTTGCTCTTGAGAAAAACACTAATGATCGACCTTTGATGTTGAATGTTTATTTTAGAACATTCCAATGCTGCGCACAACTTGTTGGCTATGCTCAGAGTTGGTGTGATTGAAGGTGGCTATGAGGTCGAACATCTGAAGAAAAAGGTAGGGGTGTTTAGAAAGGAACAACAGATTCCTATTTGTGGACCCAAAACTTTAGGAACTGTTTCGACCCCAGATAGTCCAGTCTTAGGAATCAAACCCATCTACCCTTGAAATTGAAATTGTTTGCCAGACATGATAAAAGCAATACAAAACTCATATATTTGTACAACATTTCCTGCTTCCTTTGTTCATTTTGATTTGTTTTCAAGACAAATATTTAAAAATTTGAAAAACAAATAGAAAAAAGTAAACCTACAAAAGTCCAATAATAGGTTCATAGTTAAATGAGTCTATCTTCCCTTTAAATCATCGTCATGTATTACTACATTCACCACTCGGTGCCATCCTCAACTTTAAGTTGCAACATCTGACCTAGTCTGAGAGGCTGCATAGAGATTGGAGGACTTCCCGTCAACATCTGCGGGTCTCCCAGAGTCGGTTTAGAGCCTCGAAATTCAAATTCCTCTGCGAGAATTAAGAGATTTTGGGTCTAGATCAACTTCTGAGAGGGTCCCAGATCCGACGGGAAGTCCTCCATTCTCGAATCCAATCATCTTGAACACTCGCTCACTCACTTTTTTTTAATCCAAGCTGACTCTTTTTCAATTTTAAATGAAACGATCAAGTTCAACGCTTTCATTCAAATCTTCAATATATGACAATATGTATATCTACTCAATCCATGCTCAAGACCAATTTTATGAAAATAAAAATAAGATCTCATGACTGAAAGATAGATGGTTGGGCAGGAAAGGCTTTCCTGTTACCGTGCCAGGACTTCATCCAAAAACACCCTTCCTTGGTTCAAATTTTTAAATTGATTGGAATTCCTTGATCATGATACATTAAGGGAAAGAACAGTGAGGGAAACGTTTTACACTATTCATGCTGCAAGCTTCCTACTGCAAAGGAATCCAAGAAAATGAGAAGAGGCCATGTCCAATTCAGCTGAAGGGGTCCGGACGGGGAGGCAATTCGATTGTGGCTCGGCAAGTAGGGCAGGTTGAATGGGACTCTAGCCAGGGCTGCAACAGGAACATAGATCGAAATCAGCCATGAACTTATGAAGATTGAGGGGAGAAAAATTGTTTATTTACTTGGATGCAATCCCGATGAAAAATGTGAGTAGGGTGGCATGGAAGCTGCAGGATAGGTTGATCAACTTGAGAGAGATCGTCCTGACAAACCAGACATTTCAAGGCTTCTCCGTCGGCCGAAGCGACAGCATTGGAAATGGTCAGAGAGGCCAGACGTCGTTGGAGTTTCTGGCTTGCGGCGAAGGACGCACACCGAGCATTGTGCACATGTCTAGTCCAACTCCTCCAGAAACCGTAGATGAACCGCAAGGGTGCCTTGACGTCCTTGTCCATGTTTCCGAAGGCTTCATTGATCTCGGACGGGGGAGGCCCAAGGAACTGCTCGTATTGGTCCTCATCCAAGCCGTTTCGGAGTCGGTTTCTCGCCAGTTCTATCAGAACTGCTTCCAGAATTGCGAATTGAGTTTCAAAGAGCTGTCGAGTTTGGGGCGGGAGGGGCTCCAAAGCCTCCAAGGTCTTCTGCATGACTTTGTTGTTCATGTTAGACTTATAAGCAGCTGTTGTTTTTTTTTTTTTTTGGTAGGAACTCTTGGAGTATGGGTGGGAATGAGAAGGGATGTGATGAAAACTGTGAAGATGGTGAGCTCACTGGTATGGCCGAAGCCATGGCTCTATATATACCTTTCATCCATGTCGAGCCTTTCTCTAGTAGCACTGGTAGGAGGCCTCAAGGCAGGTGTGCTGAGGACTTTTGCTGCTTTCATCGATTGATCAGTCGACTGTTGCAGAAGAGGGCTCAGCTTGACAAATGCTACCAGTGCGATAGGCAGGGCAGAATCTGTCTGAGCATTGCTTTCTTCACCAGGTATCAAAAGTTCTCTACCTCTCACTCCACTTCTTAGCTCCACTTCTTAGCTTGCTGGTAATGTAGCTTCTACCAAAGCGGTGAGTTTTCATGAGGTGCATTGTGCTCTGTAAGAGAAACTCCAACGGAGCCGTGACTGGGCGTTCGGGGGCGAACTTTGACTGCCCGGAAGGCAATTTTGCCCTCCAACGGTCCCGCGGAACAACCCTGGGAACATCCCCGGGGGCACTCCAACCCGCGATTGACCTCTGACTTCTGCGGGTCACCTCCCGGCCGCGATTCCTATATCCACCCACACACAACACCCAGCACCTCACAACAATGGCAGACACTGATCAAAAATCTTCAACATACACCCCCGCCCAAACGCCTAGTTCTCAAAAGAAAAAAAAGAAGAAAAACAATCGAAAAACAAAATCAAACCCCCCCAAAAGAAACAACCACCAATACGTTGCCCTTTTACACTGGACTCTTTGCTTCTTTATACCTACTTTCAATCTTTAAAATATATAGCAACATTGAATTCTCAACGCTCTTGTCTCTCTATTTCTCTCAGTCATTATGTCTCCTTGTTGCACATACTTCCTCACTCTTCAGTTATTTGGTCTGGTACGATTGCATGTCAGGTGCCACAAAAGTCACACACACATACCACAAAGGAGATGCTCCATCCTTGTGGAGTGGAAGGTTTGTAGGCCGATTGTCTTGGGGAGGTGGTTTTTGGTTGATCGTGTTGGGGAGGTTGGTTGGTCCGAGGGTGGAGGACTGCCAGTCCATTACTGGAACTGACCCGCGACCTCTGTGACATGAGGCCGCGGCCTGCGGAACTCATGAGAGTTGCCCCCCGGACCGCTGGAGTTGCTCTAACAATTTGCGCGGAATGTTATTACATATCAGAGAAATTGTTCTCTTTCTGACTGAGTAGGGCTTAATTTGACCAATGCATTCTCTGCACTTCCGATACATAAATTCATCCTTCCAGCAAACTTAACAAAGTCCCCTTCCTGCTGAAGGGCTTTTTTTTTGGATGTCTTGAGCGACAGATCTATTGCTCTCTTTCTGACCATGTCAAACAAAAAGAAAAGAAAAGAAAAAGGAAAAATTGTTCTGGAGTCAGCCAGAAACCTGTCAGAATATTTAATGGACTTCCCGACGGATCTGGGCCCCACACGGAAGTCAATCAATCTAGCCCTGAAGATTCTTGATTCTCACAGAGAAATTCGAATTTTGAGGCTCTAAACCGGCTCTGGGAGACCCGCAGATGTTGACGGGAGGAAGTTGTCCAATACAAGACCATCTCCACTGCGCAGAGTCATCTGAGTTGGTAAATTTACAGACTCGGGGACTGCGGCGGACGGATAGCAACCCTTGGAAAAATCATTTTCCACCGCAGGGTGCTATCCACACTCCTGGTTTGTGAAAGGCCCTCCCACAGAGGGGGGGGGGGAGTCTGGATTTCACCAGGATTGACCCTGTGAAACCGCTGGGTTGGTATAGCGATTGCACATCTAGCAATGCTATACCACCCAAGGGGGGGGAACTATATTTACCTCCCCTTTAGCACCCCCGGTGGCCAGGGTTTTTTGAACTTTGGAGGAGGGGTAAATTTGGTTTACCACCACAGTTTACAACCTCCCCGGGGGATTCAAAGATGATTTTTAAACAGGATTCTGCATGAATTGACACTGTCATGAAGAGGTTCACAATCTTCGGGTTCGTCATTGATTGTGGAACGTTTCTCGAAAGCTCTGTGATCTTGATAATTGTTGTGTAGAATCCAGTTGGAAAAAAAACAAGGACTTTAAGACTGCCTATTTTATGCCAAGGAGGGTAATGAGACTTTCAGAATGACTGCGGTTTTTCCAGTTGCTTAATACACATCCCAATGCATCGATCTGAAGAATTCAACCCCAGGTTCAAGATCTTGATCAGCCCCCAAATCCGACATTTCTGTTTCTTTTTTTTTGGCAAGGTTGAGCCATCATCAATGATACTGATAATAATGCTGTCTGAAATATGTTTGCTGGGATCACAAGAGTTGCTCGAAATAGACTCCAAGTCTTATTGTCCGGCAGCAAATATTCATTCACATTCAAATCACTCATCACCATCCCTCTCTTCCTTCTTTCTTAATGTCAATGGCAATGTAAGTAAAGCAATATCATGAATCCGTTTCTGTGTAGGCTTTCTATGATCTTGATCTTATCTATCAGACTGATCTTTTGAGACCGGCTGATCCAGAAAAAAAACCCAGGCACATTTCGAATCATTCGCATCAGAAGTCCAGCTCCTCATTTTTAGATCCTCATCCCTTCATGCATTCTCTTGACCTTCTTTTCTTTTCATTTCTTCTTTTTTTTGGAAATCTTCTCTCTCTCACTCTTGTTTTTTTTCATTCTCATTTGACCCCTGCTTGTCAGCCCCAAACAAAGCCCCACCTTTTTTTTTTTTTTTGGTTTACTCCCCCAAAGAAGTCTGTCTTTCTACTGTTTTGTGTTTTGTGTTTTGTTTTTTTTCTGATCAGGGCTGTTCTGTTCACAATAATAATAATAATAATAATAATCCACAAAAGAAAATACCAAAAAGAAAAAAAAGAAGAAAAAAAATCAGTCCGATCCAAAATCAAAATCAAACAGAGGAAGAAGAAGAAGAAGAAAAGAGATGATGGGAGGAAAAGGACTGATCATGTTCAGACATGAATGCACATCCAAGCAAGCCACATTCTCACAAAGATTCATGCACAGGATTAAGACCCATTGAATGAAGGCTGGATGTGAGTCTTCTCAAACAAACACTGGTGGAGGACAGTTCGTGTCTTCTTCTTCTTCTTGTTTGCTCTGCTGGTATCCGCAATTCTTGACTACAACCCTTGTCCTCATTCAACTTCAACTTCCATGACTTCCATGACCATCTTTTTTGCACTTCTTCTCTAATAAACAAACAAGTCAAATATCATTGCATTGTTTGTCTTTTTTGTTCTGTTTTTCACATCATCTTTTTCTTTTTCTTTTTCATTTTCAATCCACTCTTTTTCTCTCTTTTCTGAAGTAAGTTCACGGTAAACATTGTTCCCCACTGTTCGACACATAACCCTTGTATTTTTTTTTTCTGTTTGTTTGTTTGGTTGTATGTTCTTAATTTTTCCAAGATAAATAAACCATAAACCAAGAAGAATGAAGGAAATATCTAAAAAAAAAAAAGGAAAAAAACCAAACAATGATTCACTGCTTGCAAGCAGCCCTTGAAAAAAAAAAAACATTTTCTTTTTTTCAAATTTGAGATTCCCAAGGATAATCGTATTTGTTGGTGAGAGGAGGGGGGTTAAAAAAAAGGGGGGGGGGGAAGAAAAGAAGGATAGATGTATATATTTATAAAAATGAATCAACCAGCCAATTAATTTGTGCAGAAGAAAAAAGAAGGAAGCCCAATACCAATCCTGAGAAAACCAGCACCCCCTCTCCTGATCATCATCAGCTCACTCCAATTATCCTATATGTATCTTATTATATGTATGTATGTATATATGCATGGACCACTCTCAAAACTTCAAACAATTTTTGTAGCATTTTTTGTGGGGGGGGGAGGAGGTTTTGGTTTCCAGTTTTTTTTTTGTTTGTTGATTATCATGACCTTCTATTTCTGAAAACTGCTTCACAAAGGAAAGAAAGAAAGAAGAATATCAAGGCCCGTCATCATCATCATCATCAATTAAGTAACCAAAAAGTAGCTGAGCAGATAAGAACAAGCAGCCAAATGTCAGCAGCCATCAAGATCCACTTCTTTTTTTTGGGGGGAAGGGGAGGTGTGGGAATAGAAAAAAAGAGTACTAACAGGTCTTCTGAGAGCCCTCAGCACCAATCACCACCTTGCAGCTTCTGCAGGTGGTGGGGGCGGAGGAGCGACGCTGAGACCGTTGCCGTTTGGAATCACTCCATTCGGGGGCTCATCGTATTCCCGGGGTGAGCCTCTGCGGGCAGGGCCACGAGGGATTGGGGAGCGGGATCTGGAGAGGGAGCGACGTCGACGGGGGACACGACCTGGACTGTCATCGTATCTTCAAGTGATCGAGATAGCAAATATATAAAGTTAGCTAGTTGGAATGGAAGGATTAGGGGACATGATTGGATCCACTAACCTTGATCGTCGAGGGGAAGGCCGTCGATCAAAATCCCGATAGCTTCGGTACGCTCCATCATCGCGACCACGGCTGTAGCCACCAGCGTAAGGATCGTCCCGACGATAATCATCCCGACGATAACCGCCACCACCATGGCTGGGGTATCCTGGAGGGCCGCGGCCGAAGCCATGAGGAGGTGGACCACCCCATCGGTCGTAGCCTGCACGCTCGTCCTCTTCTCGTTTGCTGCCCATATACTGCCCTGGTGTGGGTTGATGGGGCTTGGTGGTAACCGAATAATCCACGCGAATTGGCCGGCCATGAAGATCCTAGAATGATGGGATGGAGAAAGAATAAAGTTAGTGGGATGGGTGTGATGGTGTAGATTGAATTGATCAACCTACCAGACCATTCAATTCTGAAATGCAAGCCGAGGCATCCTGGACGTCTCTCATTGTGACGAAGCCAAAGCCACGGGACCGATCACTCTAGAAACAAAACCAAGGATAGAAGAAGGAGGAGTGATACGGTAAGTTTGAGAGGGGGGGATTACAAAAAAGGAAGGGCAGAGATATTATTGATGAGGGAGTACACTCAACTCGTTGGTCATAAACAATCACGACTTTCTCGACCTTGCCATAGCGACTAAACTCGGCTTCCAGGTCAGCCTCGCGAGTGCGGATTGAGAGACCAAAGACACCGAGGACGTTAGTAGGCTGTACATCTTGTGGTGCGTGGCGGGGCCTGACGGGTGGACCGGAGACGATCGGCCGATCACGTAGGTTGACGGGGCCATCCCCCCTTGGTCTGGGTGGAGAGACCGATCTTCGCGAACTTCCACCTCCATAGCCAATGGGTGAACTAGAGATAGTAAGGATAGATGGTTAGTTATTTTTTGTGTGATGTTGAATGTAAGAGAAAAGATAAATCAGAGCAGAAGGAGACGAACCGACTACGGAGACGATCTGAACCAGTTGGCATGATGAGTTCTTGTTTAGTTTTTTGAGAGGATGATTGAATGGGTTGAGGAGTGTAAAAAGAGGATGATCGAAGAGGTGGTATTGGTTGAGGAGTAGGCTTTCAAGATGATGAGGATGATATAACGATTGACGAGAGAGAGAGAGAGAGCAGGTTCCCAGATCGAGAGTAAAGAAAATTATGTATGTACGCAAAGAATCGTTCCTCTTTTTGTTGGTGATCTTCTTCTCTTGATCTTCTTTTTCTTGTTGTTCTTTTTTTTTTTTGAAGGTGTTTGATATATACCTTGATTGAGGAAGCGATTTGAAGATTGGATCTTGTTTTTGAATATTTGATTGTGGATGAGGGATGTGGGTTTTGATGGTTTTAGTGGTTTGATGAGGAAGAAGACAGAAGTCGGTCGGCTCGACTGAGGGTCAAGCGGGGGGAGGGAGACAAGGTGAGGAAGGGGGCTGTCCACCCAGCAACGGATGATTATTTATACCGAAGCCAAGTTAACCGAGCAACGCAGGACTCAGCTGAAGGACCAACAGCAGCACTACATAAACTACATAAGACCTGAAACTCACTCATCCCTCAGTCTTACCCGGCCTCAGCAACTTACTCACCCTCACTCCGCCAGCCGCCGAGCTTGCATAGTCAGATCGACCCCCAACCACAATCCAACCAACCTCATGAACTGAGCATACAGAATCCAATACAACAATACTCACTCCAACACTTCACCTAAAACACCGATTGCTGACCCCCCCTGAAACCACGTCTCATATCCTACAAGATCAGAACCCTCCCGGCCTTCATCAACTCACCACTCATCAAGCCCACCCTTGTCGTCTCGACGAGCTCATAAGAAATATCCAATCCCCCCAAAACATCATCCTTCGCTAAATCAAAGTTTCTTTTCTTGGTGGTGGAGACTTGCCTAATTATCACCGACCGGTCAAGAGAAAAAGCTCTCTTGCATGTCGCCCCGATCAACCAAGTTTTGCATGTACAGATCACCTGACCAGAGCCAGAGGAGGAGCAGAGGCAGCTGCTGGTCTTGAATATCATAATAACCTCAATAATGATCATCATCACCATCATCAGACCTTTGAAAAACTGACTGTGAGACAGACAACAATCATAGATATGTTTCTCGACATGACTTGTACTAAAATAACAAAAACTTGAAAAAAAGAAAGAAAGAAAGAGTGTCAGATGGCGGGGAATGGGATCAAATTGTAGATTGCATACCTGATATTCATTGTGTCAAGAGGAGGATGTGAATAGATTAGGAGGGTTCATGATTGGAATTTATAAAATCTTAAAGCTAATTCCGCAAGGCCTTTCTCAACAAGATTGTAGAATTTTGAAGATCTGGACACATTAATGTGGGGGATTCCAATTAGCCATCAGGTCAACTTTTTTTTGTTTCATTTTTGAAAAAAGTGGTTCATAAACACCTTAAAATGTGCTTTAAATTCAATTGTGAACCCCCCTAAATATAAGTATCTGGAAAGAATATCAGGACAAAGGAAGAAAGACTGATGTTTGATGATGACAAGCTATAAAGCAAGTCTTTCCTGAAACTACATACACATTTTGACAAGGATGATCAATCATCCTTCTTCACTTGCAGATCATCATCTATCAGCGGGGCTGTAGTATCATCATCAGACTGATCTTCATCATCATCATCAGCTGCTGCTGCTGCTGCTGCCAAAGTGAATTCCATACTAAGGTTCACATCACTACCAAGACAAATACTCTCATGTCTGCCTTCTTTTGATTCTTAAATTGTGTCTTCTTTCTCTTGCTTCCCAAGAACCTGTGATGTATTATTACAGGGTGAGGGGTTCACAATTCAACTTACATGTAGTAGAGCCATTTCTGATGTTTTTCTTTGGGGGGGGGGGAATGTAGTGGAGGAATTCCTGATCTGATTTAGAGTGTCTTATACAAAGCCCTCCCGGTGCAAGTCTTAACTGAACCCCCCCCCCCCGTAATCAAATTGGCCAGAAACTATAAAGATCTCAAAGGGGGTGTCAATCGGTTTCTGAGGAGGGTTCTAGGTCCCAATGGAAATTCATCCAGTATCTTACATGCTGATCAAAGTTGATCAGAATCCACTAGATCTCATAAAATCAAAACCAAAAACAAAAAAAATTGTTGCTCATAAACAAACAGCTGAAGAATGGCTCTCAATTTCTATATATAATACAGCCATCCATATGTAGCTTGATGAACTCCAGCTGTATGTTCTATTTCAGGTCTAAGAGAATCTCCATTGCTGTCACTAAATTGACCTGAGGCCCAAACCCCTTCCCCCACCACGATCCCCATCCACATCTGTATATCACAGATTTCATCCTTGGTCCCTCTCCAGACCCTGGATTCAGGGATCAGATAGGGGCCAAGGATCGTACATCTGATCAATGTGAATTTCACACAAGATCACACTTCAACCTGTCGTATCAGCTTGTCAACACTGCACCAACATTTCTGATTTAAGGAGTGTCTGGCGTGGCAGAACAAGCTTCTGAGTCCGTCTTTTCCCTCAATATAAGGGACCCAAAAATACCAACCACAATGGAGATGCTCTGATACATAATCAATCAAATCCTCTTACCTGAGTTATATACTCTGTTCCAATTATTTTCTGGTTTGTATATATATTTTTTTGTCATCATGTTTCAATTTGATCAAGTAAATGTTTACTTTTTTCAGTTTATATCAAGTTTAATTGAAGGTGTGAACCCATGGGGATGATTAGAATAGAAGGAAGCACCAAGAACATTCAGAAAGAGAAGGTTGATTACTTCAGTAGCAGAATCAAACCGCTGCAGATAAGCATGCAATGATAGCAATGGTTGGTTGAACAGCATAGGCAAGAGATAGAGAGAGAGAGAAAACTTCCAGCTAGGTGCAAAATTATAGAGTGGGATTGGTGGGTTTTTGGTGTGGAGAGCACAAAGTCACTTTGAGGCTGAGGATGACATTACTTCAAGTGAAAATTGGTTGGATTGAAGTCATTGTGAACCAATAGATTCTATCCAACAAACCCAAAATTTCTTTGCAATCAAGAGATTATTTAGGTTTACTGATGAAAACTCATATCGAGGTGTGATGATTTGAGATATTCAAAGCAGAACTGATCCAAGATTGAGCAATAAAGACTGAGGTTGACTGATGAAGACAATGAGTTTGACCAATGAATATCAACAGAATCTTGGCATAGCCACAAGGAGGTTGAATCAATCCTGAGGATGATTGTGTTCAATAGAAATGATAGTGGTCCTGACATACAAATAGAATTATCTAGCTTCCAGAGTGATTCTGCTTTGCCTTGAGTTAAGCTACCACTAGCAAAGATAAAAATAATGATCACAATCAATCACCAGGCTCTAGATGAGTATTGATGAGTTGAATCAAAGGAGTAAGAATTAGAACAAGACATCAATTGAGTTCTCATTCTCTGTCTAACAAAACTCATTATTTGTAATCTTTAGCTTCCACTCACACAAGACTATAGAACGTAAGCTTATCACTCAAATCTTTCCACCATTAGTTGGTGAGTAAAAGACAAGTATTGATTGCCTTTTTCTTATGATAGAAAAAAGAGAAACGTAACTGACTATTCTATTGTTGATGATCTTACATTAGACTCATCAAACAACTAACAATAAGCAGACGTTACTTAAATAAGAAATACATTCTTATTTATACTTAAAGTAATTTCTTTTCATTACTTTTATGCTAAAGAAATAATCAACTCAAGAAGAAAGACTAATATGGTAATGATCTTCCAATAATTATTTTATCTGTCATAATTATTATTACCAGAATATTAAAATTGTTGAAGTGTCTGATAGTCTGCTACCATGATGTATCACTACATGTCGGGCCATGAGCACTACCACCCAACTACCCTGGCAGTCACAAGCGTCTGTAGCCTAGTTGGTAAAGGCAGCACTCTACTATGTGTCTCAGCATTGCTGAGTCTCACCAGACACATCTTCATTTTGTCTGTCTCTACAAAAATAGTCTATCCAAAGTCATTTTCTCCTTATTATTAAGTCTTATCTTCAAGACTATCAGATCAGTTCTGCCTTCAAGTTCAGGTACTGCTCTGATTTCTCTTGTTACATTATTAATTGTATTTATCTAAAAAGAATATATACTTATGAAGAAATAGAACTGTCTTCAGTTCCAAAATCTTTCAATCCTCACCAACCATATTTCCTCATTTGCATGGTTGGACTAGCTAAATCCACTCATTTATATCTACAGTCTGACCAAAATCACTCTTTTTTGTCTGCCCTGAAGCAAAATTCACTCACATTGGTCTATAAAAGGAGGCTCTGTTCCTCCTATTTGTCGTCTCCCCAGTTCTTCAGTTTATATGTAACTAACCAGTTTATTATACACACACATTACAGCTTCATAACAATTATACAAACTCTTCACATGTTAACGGTCTCTTTTTGTCAGCAATTATATATCCAAGGTTTTTACTGCAAACATTATCAAGGAAACTAATAAGAGAAGAAAAAATGCTATGGGATAACCACTATACACACTGCTGACACTGCTAGTATAATTATCTAGGTTGAGGGAATCCCAGTTAAACATGAATATCCACAACCCAGCCAATTATGGTGGAGGTGTGAAACCAATATACACATGGGGGAAGTACATTATATTTTCAGTGTTGGTGGATTTAAAAATGGCAGCTTGATCCCAAGTATCACACATGTCAACTGGCACATTATCCCTGACATGATTTCCCAGATGGGAAATCTTGTAAATTTTAGGGAAATCCTGTAAAAAAAATTAAAGATTTTTCCAGATTTTTAGAGTTTTCTAATTTTTTTTAGATTTTTCCAAATTGTATATATTTTTTCAGATTTTTTATATTTTTCTAAATTTTTCAGATTTTTCCAGATTTATTTTGCAAGAGACATCTATAAAGTTGAGAAAAATTAACAAGTCCAAACAATCTGAAAAAATCTAAATAAAGA